GGGGGTTATCTTCTCTTGCCTTTATCCTGCCCGAAGAGCAGAACGTTTATATGTTATTACGAATAAAATTATCTAGCGCGTTACACTCGTTAAATCTGTTTTTTTTTTTCGCAACACTTGATACACTTTGTGATTTTTCAAATCTCTCTATTGTGGTCTTTCGTTTGTCGAACAAAAGAGAAAAAGAGAGACAGAAACCTCGGCCTCGCTCCCGCTGGACCAGAACTATACACCAACCAATCAGCCAGCCTTTCTCTTGGAACAAGATTTTTTGTTTTCTCACAATTTACCATCTGAGGAGGACGGCTGACGCATGGGAAAGCAATGTGCCTGACACGCATCCTAATACGTGCGAAAAGATCCTAATAATTGTACGGTACAATCTAAGATTAGAAACTACATGTATAATAATTCTAAATCGTCAATCGTATAGCAAACGACATTTAAAGGCTACACGAGGTATAAGCTGCGTCGACCACGGGACGTGCTAATTTCTATATGAAATCCTTAAAGAGCTCAAGTCCTGGCGGGAAAGGCTGTCTAAGGAGTAAGGGGATGCACCGTTGAGAACGACACTCCTCGATTATGGGCCAATCGGCTCGAGATTCCCGAAAGGAGACGAAATGCCGAGGGATCGCATCCTCTCCGATAATCGTACTAGACACTAGAGGTTGCGCGTGCATTGTACCAGCTATGCAGTTACGTGATGCACATAAATAAACTAAAATCTCTAAGAGTGATCTCTTGCGAGTCAGAAAAGCAAAAGGTAGCCGAACGAAATCTATCGCTACTACTGGCCTTACTGGCCTTACTGGCCTTACTGGCCTTACTGGCCTTACTGGGCTTTGCTGCTGCCCAGCGTGCGCGCCCCATGCAAAGGCATGCTTCCTCTCGAATTGCTGCTACTTGCAATCCGATAAGAATTAAGTAATTTGACGACATATCGCGCAAGCAATCGGTCCATCGATCTCAAGATGCAGTCCTATGTGTGACGGTACAACAAAGCAAAGGCGCCTTTAATTTGAACGTTCAACCTTCGATATTTGTTCGATCGAGAGCGATTGTTCGAAATGTCAGCGTGATGCGCTCGGGGGGCATTATTCGCAATGTGCAAATGGAAGAATATTAACTCCATCTAAGCGTGACGAAGGTACAAGTAAGCGAAAATGGACAATGGTCCGCTTCTAAGTTACGTTTATCGATACTTTCGAGAATCAATATACTCCCCCCCGCCCCCCCCCCCTCTCTC